GGATGATCGTGTTTCCTTGTTCTTTTGTCACCATTATCTATGCCAGTTGAGATATTAGCCAAGCTGTCATTTTAATCATTGCATAATCTTCAGAAGATGCTATGATTCTTTATATGACTCTTGTTGTAAATAAAACAACAAATAGCTAGTTTTAAGGTTAGTTTGAGATCCATTAGTCTAATAGTTAAAGCACCAAGCTAAAAATCAGGAGGCTTAAGTTTTATTCCTGCTTTAGGCATGAAACCCAGCTGGGTGACCTTCAGCCAATCCCTCTCTCTCAGCCCAACTTACCTCACTGGCTGATTGTGGTAGGAAAAATAGGAAGAAGGAGTATTATGTATGTTCATTACCTTGAGTTATTTATAAAGTAAGTAATAAAAGCAGAATAAAAAAAACTGATAGAATTTTGCTGTTGATTTTGCTAAATATCTACTTTATTGCTCACCTCTTTATATCTCTCTAACAAATACTTTATTGATATTATGAATGTTGCTAGAAAATATTTTAATTGCCATCCTAGAACCCTGTCTAGATTTAAAATGTGATATTGTCTGGAGGATGGATACCTCCCTGCTCTGAAGCCTATTAAAATTAGCAGAACCTATCTTCCTTACATATTAGTAACAGTCCAGTGTTCTTCACACACCAATAGGTATTACAATGTGATATTTAAGATATATCCTGCTTTGAAACACGGAGGAAGATTATTTCATTCAATCACATTCAACATTAATATACTATAGTTATTTACTATAGATGAGTCTTACATAGTAGTATTACTTACTGAAGTAGCCAGACATGGTACGTGTGGATTCAAAATTTAGGATAGCCTTTATAAACTGTTACAGGTAATCCCCGAGTTACGAGTATTCACTTAACGTTCATTCAAAGTTACGTGATGAGCGCCCCCTAGTGCTTACGAGCAAGTCCCGAAGTTATGAATATTGCAGCACCATGGCAGTCGTTCACCCTTACGAGCGACCACAGTGGCTCTGCAACATTCACCCTGATTATTCCCTCCTTCCCCACTCCCACTGTAGGTCTCCCTAGGCACCAGGCCTTCAATACTCACCCTGCAAAAATTGAGATCCTTTGCTTTCTTGGCTGTTCCAGACGGTCGGTGCGTTCACAGAGAATGGAGGCCAAAAGCAATGCAAGATCACGCGAGATCAGTGGGGCGACATCTCACGCTACTGATCTCGCGTGATCTCATGGTACTTTAGGCCTCTATTCTCTGCAACAGAGAACGGAACCGAAGCTGGGGGACACTTCCACGTGTCTCTGGAGGCTGGATCGGGGCTTCGGAGGTCTTTTCCAGGCCGCTGCAGCCTGGATCTAAAGTCAGGGGAGGCTTCTGCGCACCCTGTGTGGCCCAATACGGGCTCTGGAGGCCTTTTCCAGGCCGCTGCCGCCTGGACTTGAGGCTGGGGAATGTTTCTGCAGCCCCCCATGGCCCAGTCTGGGTTCCGGAGGCCTTTTCCAGGCCCAATCAGGCTGGGGGGGGGCTGTAGAAGCGTTCGCTGCCCTCAAATCTGGGTGGCAGCAGCCTGGAAAAGGCCTCCGGAGCCTTTTCCAGAGATGGAAGATTCATAGTTTTAGATTTTAATTCCATACAATTGATGTTTCTGGAAATGGATTGTTATAACATATTGTATTAAATGATGATGACATACCACATGTAAAACTGATACCATGGCAACTTTAAAAGTCTACACATTGGGCAGTATCTGAAAGCTCTGAAGAATCTCCACAAAGGCAGCCAGAGAAAAATTGTGTTTTTGTGTGAAAGTTTGCCGTGCTTTCAATGAGTGAAGTAAATGACACGCTGATAGGATATAATGTTTCTGTGTATCCTGCTGGTATTATAGCAACCTTTATTATTATTGCAGCTCTTTAATTTTTAGCAGACGGACTCCTTTCTCGGTTTGATTCTTTCTCAGATCAGACTACCATACTGGCTGGCATAAAATGTCATTGTAAATTATTTACTAGATAAATTAGTATAAATAATTTTGCTTTATTATTTGATTCGCTATATAGCCAAAATGAGTTTCGATGGAAAAAATGTGTATGTGATTTTTAAGCATAGAACTCTAATGTTAACAGCCAAGGTCTGTTTTATATACTTGGATCACCTATAGTACGGTGTGGAGTTCAGAGAACTTTAATAAAGAGTCTATACTGTAGAATAGACGTGTCAAACTCGCGACGTCACGTGACTGTTTTGCCATTGCCGACAATGGGGTGGGTGCGGCTCCAGTATGATGAAACCGGCCCCGACAGTTTGACACCCCTGCTGTAGAATATAGATTTCTTTGTTGTGTACTCAATTATTAACCCCGACTAATGAAGGTAGAGTGTAGGAATATGGAATTTAATTTGCTATTCATCTAATTTTTGCTGTGAAACATTTTGCTCTATTACTGCTGATGAAATTTACCATTTTGTTTCTATTTTCTCCCAGGTTTCCTTTTGCTTAACTTCTTTTTAATTCTTCTTAATTACTGCAATTGAATAGTACAGCTCTTGAAATGCAAGTTTTGATTCTTTATATCTCTGATTATAGTGTCACAGAATTTGAGCAGGGTTTTTTGTGTATTTAGAATAATTATATTGCCTTTCTGCTCTAGAAAGCTGATGCATTTTGCATTTGTCTTAAAGTTTCAGAATGGCATGCTGCTATCACGAAGTAGATAGCTGTTGGGTACAAATAATTCAGCACTTTGCAAATGGAAGTACAGTACAAGTCATTTAGATGGTTTAGGAAAATTTGGTATGGTATGCTAATATTGTTAATTGATAGGTTGAAGAAGATACACTGTTTTCTTCAGAATTATAGTTGAAAAGTGAAAAGGTAATCCAAAATACAAACAACAAAACCATGCAGTAATGTAAAAGAAAAAGAGCCCCATATTACTGGATTCTTCTCATTTTTAACATTGTTCCTACATTTTATCTTTTTATACACATACAAACACACGATAATCCTAACAGTGTGTGTGTGTGTGTGTGTGTGTGTTTGTGTAGTTTAATTTTATTCAGATTATCAAAATACAAGTGAAAATAAAGAATAAGGAAGGGGGAGGGAAAAACGGGAAGCAAAACTGTGAGGGAAAGGGAAAAAAAGAAAAAAAAAGTGTTAACCTCCATCTCTTTTCAATGCAGTAGATTAAAGTTAACATTAAAGACTCAACTTTTTACTTTTGCATACAGGTAGCTCTTAACTTAGAATCATTCGTTTAGTGACCATTTGAAGTTACAGTGGCACTCAAAAAATATCTTATGGCCGTTTTTCACACTTATGACCATTGCAACATCCCCATGGTCACATGATCAAAATTCTGTGCTTGGCAACTGGTTCATATTTATAATGATTTCAGTGCCTCAGAGTCATGTGATTACCTTTTGCAACCTCCTGGCAAGCAAAGTCAATGGAAAAGCTAGATTCACTTAACAACCGTGTTAGTAACTTAACTGTAGTGATTTGCTTAACAATTGTGGTAAGAAAAGTCATAAAATGGGGCAAAACTCACTTAACAGCTGTCTTGCTTAACAAATTTTGGGTTCAACTGTGGCCATAAGACGAGGACAAACTGTACTTCATATATACTAGCAATTTTTACAACAATAACAAACTTATTAGTAAATCCCAAAGTAACAACAAACTTATCTAATCAGCAAATCCCAAAGTCGGAATTTCATTTTTTCTGTCTTGAGCACAAAATCTAGAAAAAATATTCCATTATTATATCTAAGTGCAATTCAACCAGCAATACGATATTGCAAGAACAAACACTGAAAATGTGATCATTGCATTTCTTGAGGTTCGGACAAAGGCATAGTCATGCCAGGAACCCTGCATGAATGACCGCAGTGTTCATGTATGTTGCAGTTAATTCCTGTAAGTGCAGTTCATGAACAAAATGGATTTTTCACTGATCCTTGCAGGAAGTTTTTAGCATTATGAAACTTGTCTATCTTGCTCAATTCACTAAGTTCTTTCTAACCTTAAATTTTTCATTTGGGATTCAAAGAGCCATATAAATCTAGGCATGGCCTGCCAAAACAATAAGATGAGCATTATTGTACTATAGTTTGAATGGTGTAGTATTTTTATTTAGATAATTAATTGGGTATTAGTGTTAACATTTTTATTTAACTCAGAATTTAGCTCTGGAAAATATTATTAATTAATAGTTAGCAGGGATACAATTAAGGATAAATTACAGTATAATAGTTAAAGACAGGAATAGGTTTTATACAGGTAGTTCTTGACTTATGACCACAATTGAGCCCAAAATTTCTGTTGCTAAGTGAGACATTTAAGTGAATTTTGCCCCATTTTACGACCTTTCTTGAATCACTGCATATGTTACGCTAATAACACAGATGTAAAATGAATCTTGCTTCCCCCTTGACTTTGCTTGTCAGGAAGTCACAAAAGGTAATCACATGACCCCAAGACACTGCAACTATCATAAATGTGAGCTAGTTGCTAAGCATCCAAATTTTGATCACGTGACAATGGGGATACTGCAATAGTTGTAAGTGTGAAAATGTCATAAGTCACTTTTATTAGTGCTGTTGTAACTTCAAATGGTCACTAGTGAACTGTTGTAAGTTGAGGACTACCTTTAGTCTGTTAATTGAGTTACCTTAATAAACTGAATCCATTATGATCTTTTTCGTTACAGCAATGTATTTATCAGAAGTTGTGCTGGCTATTAGCTTGGCTGGACTGGACCTCATAATGGAAATAACCGGGATCAATGCTATCAGCCTGTGGTGATAGCATGAATGCCTTTGAAGGCCGTCTCTTGGGAGATTAGTGGACTTTCTTGTGCAATTGGTTAACTATTGTAAGAACACACTGCTGAACTAGGCCAGGGTTAGGCCAGGGTCTGATGCAGCAGGACACTGTTTATATTCTTATGTTCATAATACTATCTTAAATTATTTGAATTCAACTTTTCCTGATATCTTTCCTGATTTTTTTTTAGGATTCCGCAAGAAATATACTACAAAATGAATGATCTTGCTATCAAAAGAATAACAAATGCAATTATCAAATCACCTGAAGATAAACGAGAATATCGTGGATTAGAACTGGCAAATGGCATCAAAGCAGTGCTTATCAGTGATCCCACTACAGACAAATCTTCAGCTACACTTGATGTACACATAGGTATTTAATCAAATACTTTGGCATGGTTTTGGTTTTATAGTGTATGATAACACAGGGTTACAAAATCATTTACTTACATAACTTAAGTAGAGTTGTAAATTTGCTTGGAAATTTTACTAACATTATTCCCAAGAATCAGTAGTTTAAATTAGAATTGATTTAATAAGATTTGTATGTTTACCTGGCACAACTGAAGATTTTGATGCTATTTTATAAATTTACAGATAGCAAAGGATCAGTAAGAAATTATATAAAAATAAATAATCATAGGTTACAAGAAATAAAAAAGCAAGCAAGAAGACAGTAAAATGGTAATAATAATAGAAATAGTAATGTAATAGTAGTGGTAGATTCAGCATCTTCTAATAGTGTTTACTATGGTATAGAATTTTGCTTATATTTTTCAAAAAGCTTGCACAGAATAAAGCACAGGTCGGCAACCTGCGGCTCCGGAGCCGCATGCGGCTCTTTGAGCCGTCCCCTGCGGCTCCCAGCCTCGTCTGCCTTTGCAGAGAGAGACAGAGACAGAGAGAGGAATTGTGCTTCCCTGCTTCTCTCTCTCTCTCTCTCTCTCTCTCTCTCTCTCTCTCTCTCTCTCTCTCTCTCTCTGTGTGTGTGTGTGTGTGTGTGTGTGTGTGTGTAAAAGAGAGTGGACTCACAGTGTTTTCCGAGGAGCTGAAAAGCTTACTGGGCGGAGCTCCTCCCTTTGCTGCGTCTCTGCAGGAAGCAGGAAGGGCAGGAGAGAGCTAGCTAGCCCAGCTAGACTGACTCAGGAATTCTGGGAGTTGAAGTCCATGAGTCATAAAAGAGATGAGGTTGTCTACCCCTTATCTTGTTGGACAACAGCTTGAAGCTTGTCAGGTGAGCAGCAGATAGGAGGGGGGGGAGAAAGAGAGAGAGAGAAAGAGAGAGAGGGAGAGAGAGAGAGAGAGAGAAGAGAGAGAGAGAGAGAGAAAGAGAGCGGGGGAAGAGGAGTAGCAGGCAGACCAAGGGCAGATAGAGAGGGAGGGAGGGAGAGAGACAGAGAGAGAGAGAGACCCTTTTGACATCTAAAATGAAGATAACACTGCATATATCCTTTTTTTTTACCTGTGTGTGTATGTGTGTGTGTGTGTATATATATATATATACATACATACATATACATATATATACACACACACACACACACACACACACAAACACACACACACCTATAATAAAGGTAAAAAAGGATATATGCAGTGTTATCTTCATTTTAGATATCAAAATGGTTTTGCGGCTCCCAGTGTTTTGTTTTTGGTGGGAAACGGGTCCAAGTGGCTCTTTAAGTGTTTTGGGTTGCCTACCCCTGGAATAAAGCAACCTCACTAAGCTAATAGCAACTTTTCTAAATATTTTCCTTTTATTTTTATGTAAAATAAAGTCTTGATTGACTCTCATGAAGTTTATTTAACATATCTTTTTTCTTTGCAATTTCATATACTTGCATTATACCTTCTCCTTTGATTTCTTAATAGTATATATATTACTATAACTTCAGTGGAGATTTACCTGGAAGAATAGCCTGAAGAAATTGTGTAGTAGCTCATATGACTTAGCTACAGAGTAAATAAATCTACTTAATTGATTTCATATGTTGATCTTTTTTGAAGTAAATAAAGTTTCCTATACCGCATTGATTTAATTATAACTGTCCCGTTTTTTAAAAAATAATCTAGAAGTTGGGCATGTTTCTTTAATAAAACTTTAAAATTTATAATGGCTTGTTATATTTTTTTTCTTTCCACAAGGATCATTATCTGATCCCATTAATATTCCTGGATTAAGCCATTTTTGTGAACATATGCTATTTTTGGGAACTAAAAAATTCCCAAAAGAAAATGAGTACAGCCAATTTCTCAGTGAACATGGAGGGAGTTCAAATGCTTTTACCAGTGGAGAACACACCAACTACTATTTTGATGTCTCACATGAACACTTAGAAGGTGCTCTTGACAGGTAAGAATATCATAATTATTCGGTAAGTATATTGTTAACCATTGTGTGATTTTTACTGGGAATAAAAGTTCCACTTAATGTACTGTGTACTTCCAGCATAATCTTTATTAGACCAGTTGAAATTTTAAGTGAATATAGCTATAATTCCTTTTCTTGCAACCTGGAAAATATTGAATTTTGAGAATGAAGGAAAATATATGTATCCCAGGATAATGTTGCAGGATCCAATCTGAGTTGATCACTGGGACTAAAGGTATATTCTTCCAAGCTTTCAGATTTGTGCTGAAGCTCATCCTGATGAGGATGGGAGAATGGGCTCCAGCACAAGTCCTAAAACTTGGAAGAATAAACTTTTGGCCCCAGTGAATGACTCCGATCGGATCCTGCAATATTGAAATAAGTGTTACTACAAGACGCTCTCATATGGAAGGAGGAAGGAGGAAGACATTTTACTGAAGATTCTGTTCTATTCACTAGGCAACCCTACCCAGTTTAATTTTTTATTGACTTTTGTTAAATAAAAAAACCAACCCCAAATATTCCCAACTTTGCTAATATATATATTTAAATAGTTGCTTTCTGGTTTTTCAACTGGCCAGGTTTTATGCATCTCCTAATAGGATAGAAACCACTTTGACTCTTACAACTAGGATTTACGTTTTCAAATCTGAAAACTGGATATTAAACATTTGCTGTTTCTCCTTCATAGTAAGCTTTGGGAAAATATTGATATGAAGCTAATCTGTATTTGCTAAGTTCAACTTTGTATGTCTGAAATCTATCATTACATTTAACCAGGGAAACTAATACAGAATGTATTAATCTATAATCCGCTTCATCCCTTTTGCTTTCTTTATCATAGAGAAAAAAATTTTAAACTTCACAATTTGTACAAATTCAGTTAATCTAATAAAGAGATAGCTTCTAAGGAGTTTAGATTATTTCTGCTTTTCTGAAGTAATTCTGAAATAATTTAAAATTATATTCAAAATGTTAACAGTCTTTTTCCAGTTATTTAATATTCATATTTTGTACATTAAATAACTGGAAAAAGTCTGTGATATTTTGGATATAATTGTAAAATGTAAGATATGATATATCTTGTTTGATATATTAAAAATAGTTTTCCAGAAAGAAGAAACTCAGCAGTGCTTTAATATGTAAAACAATATCTGGGTTTAAATTTCCTTATTGCTTTATATAGCCATGAACTTATTTCTGGTAGTCCTTGCTTAATGACCATTAGTTCAGTGACTGTTTGAAGTTACAGTGGTGCTGAATGAAGGCACTTACAGCCAATTCTTGGAAGTTCCAGCTGTCACAGCATCTCTCTGGTCATGAGAGCAAAATTTGGGCCCACCCATATTTTTCACACATTCCTGTCTCCACTGGGTTTGCATGAGGAAGGTGCTGTGGAAATGTCCCAAAGGTTGACAGATGACAGCTACAGGTGGATGGGAGTGTGCTGCATCTGCCAGGACCTCCTTTTGTGTGCCAGCCAGGTCCTTTTTTGCACATGGGCTGGGTCCTCCTTTTGTGCACTGGCCAGGGCCTTATTTTGTGAAAGAGGGACCTCGCTGGTACACAAAAGGACTGGCTTTTGCACAGCTGGGGCCATCTTTTACACAGGCCATTTTTTGTATGCCACCCAGATTCTTTTCATTAAATATATGCTGGAATGCTCCGTGTGGGTTGCAAATTGCCCATCCATTCTAATCTAACTTAAATTTTTAAATTGATAATAATTTGTGCTACATAAAGTGAATTACTTGGGAGTCATTCTGTGATTTTCAGCTGCAGTAGTCCAAATTAGTAAATTAATAGAGACACAAGCAGAGGTAAAGATCAAGGATGAATGAAAGTTATCTATCCTGAACTAAAAACTAAAGTCATGTTGTATACTCCCATACTTGTTATTTTAAACTTTAAAAATGTTATTGTATTTCAGTACATTAATCTGGAAAATATGGGACTTCCTTTTTATAGGTTTGCCCAGTTTTTCTTGTGCCCTCTCTTTGATGAAAGTTGCAAAGATAGAGAAGTGAATGCTGTTGATTCTGAGCATGAGAAGAATTTAATGAACGATTCATGGAGACTATTTCAACTAGAAAAGGCTACTGGAAATCCTAATCATCCCTTTAGCAAATTTGGGACAGGTAATTAAGAAAGCAATTTTTACATTATTTGGTCTCTTACATTATGAGGATATGATTCCTCATCTTTCTAAGCATTCAGTTATCATGCAAATAAAGATAAATGGCATAGGTTGTGGAATCTTATTGATGTTGCAGCCTTTAGAATTATGGTAATTAAATTTCCTTGATTCAGCATAGAGCTGGAAGGGACCTTGGAGGTCTTCTAGTCCAACCCCCTGCTCAAGCAGGAGACCCTATAACATTTCAGACAAATGGTTTTTCTTAAAAACCTCCAGTGATGAAGCATCCACAATTTCTGAAAGCTGGTATAGTCCACTGGTATATTGTTTTCATGGTTAGGAAGTTTCTCTTTAATTCCAGGTTGCTTGTCTCCTTGTTTAGTTTCCATCCATTGTTTCTTGTTTTGCCTTCTGGTGCTGGAAAATAAATTGACTGCTTCTTTGTGGCAATCTCTCAAATACTGGAATATTGCTATCATATGACCCCTTGTCCTTCTTTTCTTTAGACTAGCCCAGGGGTAGGCAACCCAAAACACTCAAAGAGCCACTTGGACCCGTTTCCCACCAAAAACAAAACACTGGGAGCCGCAAAACCCTTTTGATATCTAAAATGAAGATAACACTGCATATATCCTTTTTAACCTTTATTATAGGTGTGTCTATGTGTATGTGTGTGTGTGTGTGTGTATGTGTATATGTGTATATATACACACACACACACAGACACACACACACATATACACATTAAAAATAAAAGTAAAAATATGACTCTTGGGAATATCCATACTATTAAAACAATGATCACCAAGAGAATGCTTTAAGAGAATAAAATTACATACACACACAGGTAAAAAAAGGATATATGCAGTGTTATCTTCATTTTAGATGTCAAAAGGGTCTCTCTCTCCCTCCCTCTCTATCTGCCCTTGGTCTGCCACTCCTCTTCCCCCACTCTCTCTCTCTCCCTCTCTCTCTCTCTCTCTCTCTCTCCCCCCCCCTCCTATCTGCTGCTCACCTGGCAAGCTTCAAGCTGTTGTCCAACAACCTCCGGGGTAGGCAACCTCGTCTCTTTTATGACTCATGGACTTCAACTCCCAGAATTCCTGAGTCAGCCTAGCTGGGCTAGCTAGCTCTCTCCTGCCCTTCCTGCTTCCTGCTTCCTGCAGATACGCAGCAAAGGGAGGAGCTCCGCCCAGAAAGCTTTTCAGCTCCTTGGAGAACACTGAGTGCACTCTCTTTTACACACACACACACACACACACACACACACACACACACACACACAGAGAGAGAGAGAGAGAGAGAGAGAGAAGCAGGGAAGTGCAATTGCCTCTCTCTGTCTCTGTCTCTCTCTGCAAAGGCAGAGGAGGCTGGGAGTCACAGGGGAAGGCTCAAAGAGCCGCATGTGGCTTCGGAGCCGCAGGCTGCCGACCTGTGAATTAGCATACCCAATTCCTGCAACCATTCTTCATATGTTTCAGTCTCCAGGCCTTTAATCATTTTAGTTGCTCTTCTCTGCACTTTTTCCAAAGTCTCAACATCTTTTTTGTAATTTGGTGACCAAAACTGGATGCAGTATTCCAGGTGTAGTCTTATTTATAAAGTGGTACTACAACTACATGTGATTCTGATTCTGTGCCTCTGTTTGTACAAGGATTGTATTAGCTTTTTTGGCTGCTACTGCACACTGCTGGCTCATATTTAATTTATTGTCCACTAGGACTCTAAAGTCCCTTTCACAGTTACTGCTTGAGCCAGGTTTCACCTAATTTGTATTTGTACCTTTGTTTTTTTCTGCCTAAGTAAAAACCTTGCTTTTCTCCACATTAAACTTCATTTTGTTGGATAGGGCTCATTGTTCAAATCTTTCAAGATCTTTTTGAATCCTGAGTTTGTCTTCTGGGGTGTTTACTATTCCTGCCAGCTTAGTGTCATCTGCAAATTTGATGTGTTCCCCCTCTATTCCCTCATCTAATGTCATTTATGAAGATATTGAAGAGTACTGGGTCTAAGATTGAACCTTGTGGTACCCAGCTGCTTGCTTCCCTCCATGTAGACATAGCACCATTAAGGACTACTTGTTGAGTACAATTTGTCAGCCAGTTATAAATCCATCTGGTGGTGATGCTTTCTATCCTACATTTTTCTAGCTTACCAAGAAATAAGTTGTCAAATGCCTTACCGAAGTCTAAGTATACTATGTCCACAGCATTTTGCTGGTCTACTAATTTAGTTACTTTGTCAAAGAATGAAATAAGATTGGTTTGGCGTGATCTGTTTTTAACAAATCTATGCTGACTATATTCATCAAGATCAGACAAGTATTCTCTTACCATTTTCTTGCTGATTCATTGACAATGGAAGTAAGAAAAAAGGAAGGGAATGAGAAATGGAAGAAATATCTAGCTATAAATAATTTTTATAACATATAGTAAGTGACATCTCATTCATCTATTCATCAGCATTATTTATTATATCAGGACAAGCTAAAGCAGTGATGGCGAACCTTTTAGAGACCGAGTGCCCAAAAACTGTCCTGCCTCTGGCCCACCCCTGCTTCACCCCTGCCCACTCCACCCCCTCTGCCCCGTCCCCGTCCACCCACAGGGCCACCCATTGCCTCCATGGCCCGCCGCAGATTGCCCTGCAACGCCATGGCGGCCACGCCCTCCGCCCATGCCCCGGAGCATCATTTGTGTGTGACAGGGCATGAAGGCAGAGTCTTATCCCTGCTGCCTGGCTGCCATGTTCTTGGCTGCACTGCTCTGTGCAGGCCGTGCCCGGGGGCAACTCTTCTCTGCGGGGGCTGCTAGTGAGGAGGGGGCTGGGGGGGAGGTGGGGCTGGGGCAACGGCACGCGTGCCCATAGAGAGGGCTTCGAGTGCATCCTCTGGCACGCGTGCCATAGGTTCGCCATCACAGAGCTAAAGCATCAAAATCAAAGGATCTAAACCATATGCATCCTCTACTATCGTGTCTCGGGTGTGAAGATTCTAGTGGGAATAAGTGCTTTTGTAGATAACTAACTATTTAGGAATTCATAAATTCATAAACTAGCATCTTAAGATGGACCTAAAAACAAACTGGCAATCAGTGTAGTGACCCAAATACTAGTGTGATGTGATAACATTAGGCTTCTCATTAACAAGTAGGCAACTGCATTCGGTACTAGATGCAGTTTCCAGATGGTCTTTGACTACAGCCCCATCTATTACCGTAGCTAAACATGAGATGAGGAGGACATGAGTGACTTGCCTAGTGCTTGTTCCAATAATAGATTTAATTGGGACATCAGCCAAAATTAAACAAAGGTTCTCTTGGGTACGGATTCCACATGCTCTTTTGGTAGGAGCTGTTAATTTAGGAGTTACAGATGAGCTCCTGGGGAGTATGGCTCCCTTCTAGGCTTAAGGTTGGTATTGTCTTGGAGTCAAGAAAGTCTGAATCAATTGCCACTGTATCCTTCTTGGGTTAAATCATCCTGTTTTTCCACATCCAGCCCTTGTAATCTTCAGAACTAGGTTAAGAATTACACTACACTTGGAAATGGACAGGCTCACAATGGTGTTGAAAGACAAATGTAGATCAGTTTATTTTGAAACTTGGGATAAATGTTACCATTGGAAGGATTCGAGGAGGACGGTTGGGATTATAGGCTAGTGTTAAGATAGAAATATATGTAATTTTAGAATAAGTATTGTATATAAAATTTAGATGTATATTCAGCGATGAAGAACCGATTGTACAATGTGGAATAATTTGATAAAAATGTATATACTGGAATGCCACGTTATATCCAATTTTTTTTTAAATTGTATTATAAATAAAATTTTGGAAAAAAAAATTACACTGCACTCATTCAGTATTATTGGCTAAAAGTTCATTTTTGTTGTGTATGTTATTTAGAAAACTCTTTTAAATTGTTTTTAATTTTTTTTTTTAATATTTGCATTTTCAAAAACAAAGCAAAGCTAAATACCTGTACTGTAGAGTAATTATATTGTTATTATAAGGGTAGTCTGTAATCAGTGTGTGAGTGTAGGCTTGATGAGTTATGTTTAATAATTGTTCTTAATTATATTCATACTTGAATATAATTACAACTGTTCATAAACAAAGTTAATTGTTTTATATTTCTGTGTTCTCCTTATTTTAGGAAGTTGTCTTCGTCTTATTTATTTCATTGTTTCTTGTCTTAACTTACCATTATTATAGTATATCATCTTGGAGTGATAGGTTTATTTTGTATAACAGTAATGTTTGAGATAACATGTTGGAAATAAACATTCTAGCTTTGGCTTCTCTTTTTTCACTGCCAGAAAAAAGCAAATGACTGTGAAATATTTACAAAGTTTCACATTTTGTCTTGACAAGTTTTTAAATTAAATTCTAGAAATTATTCTCCCTACATTAATAAAGAAGAATATTAAAACTTCATTGCTCAAAAATAAGTTAGTGAGTTGCAAGGATAGCCCACCACAATTCATTCCCCAACCATCCTTCTCCAGTCATTGAGCACTGCCTTCCAATTCATCCTGGGTTGTTGGGCTGCCTTCCCCAATCAGAGGGGACCTTCCCATGGAAGACCATAAAAAGCTGGACTTTTTCATTTTACATTCATCAGTTGAATACAACAATGTTAAGGCTCTTAAGTGAAGATTTTTCCAGCAATAGTGGACTTTTTCCTGAGAAACTGCATTGACATCGGCAACAGTTCTGCCAGTTTACCCTTCTGATCTAGCAGACAGAAATAAAAATAGAAGGTATATTCGGGGTTTTTCCTTCTCACTATACATTGCAGACAAAGCAATGTATAGTGAGATTCGATCCAGATAAATGGTGAGAGAATGGATCCAGATAAATACTTCTAAAGCTGACTTCATTTCCAGTGGGTTGCAGCATAGGAGACAAACAGGTCATGGCAGCAGTGCAGAAGAGCCCTTAATGCCCACTATTCCTTGACGAAGAGATTACAGTGCATTGGATTGGGAAGGAAATTCATTTAATTGGCTTAAGAAACGACTGATTCATAATAACAAAGTTTTCTTAAGATATTCCCAAATCTAGAAATTTGGGGAACTCTATCCATTATTTTAAAGTTATATGGCTTTGTCCAGACGGTCCTATTTCTTTAAGTTGTGGTTTAAAAAAAATAGCCTAAACCATTCAGAGGGTTCTTGGAGTCAGGCAGCATCAATAAATAAATATTGAAATTTACCAGGTTATAAATTTGAATTTTCTCAAGACATTAGGATCACAAAGCATAACCTGATCTTGATTTTTAGTGAGTATTTAACAATAGGTTCACAGTTCATACACCCTGAGAAATATGCTTAATAAACTAGGGTTTGCCTGAGTAAAAAGGAAACATTAGTCAATTTCTTCTTTTTTACTTCAAGAAACCATGATTTTTTGAATCAGGAAGACTGATTGACATGATAAGTGCATAATACTTTTACTTCCATCTGGGTTTGAGGATGCTAATTAATGACCTCTATAGGTAATGTAGAGATCACTGCAATGCCTCTATTATTTTCTCTTGGTTGAAAAGTTCAATTCTACATTTTGAGTTACAGTCCCTCCCCCCAATTCATATCCTATAAATTTAATGTACCTAACAGAAGCTCCACAATCTTATGGAAAACATGCATAGGAGCTCCATGCCTGTTGAGCAGGAGATACCCAGGAGTTTTTCCCAACCTCATTGGATGATCTGATGAAAAATATACTCATCAGCTTCTCATATGATTGTACAATTTATGAGAATGTTTCATTCCCTGCTATAATTTTTTTTCTCTTAACATGTCCTTTATTTTACTCTTGCTTTTTAGGGAACAAGTACACTTTGGAAACTAGACCAAACCAAGAAGGAATAGATGTAAGGCAAGAGCTTTTGAAGTTTCACTCCACCTACTATTCATCAAATTTAATGGCTGTTTGTGTTTTAGGACGGGGTAAGAATGGCAAGCATTGTGAGAATTATTTTGAAATATTTAAATGTTGCTAATATTTTATATAATAATAAATCATTTAGGAAATTAAACACAGTCAAGCTTCATATTCAAGAGTAAAATAAAAATCACATTCCTGGTTATAACACATAAAAATATTACAACACAGATGCAAAGCATTCAGTATTATTTTGCAGATTTATTCTTTTCTGCCTTCTCTGGCTATTAGCATCACTGCTCTTTCTTTAAGTTCATGTCACATCACCGTTTTTTTAAAAATCATTTTTAGAGTATGATTATAAACCATGATTCATTGTATTGTTTCAATATACCAATGTTTATATGATTAAGATTATTAACATTGTATTATTTAGGTGGCTTAAAGTATTGAAAAGGGGGAAAGGAAAGAAGGAGTTCTGTCAATATTATGTAAAATTTAGGATGTTAATATTCTAACCGTAAAACTATTTGATTTTTCGTCTGAATATATTAAAATATATATTAATATATTAATAAAGAACCACTGCACTCACATCAGAGTATCAATAATGTGATAATAGTTTTAATCTTAAACTATTACTATTAAAATTTCTATTGTATTGCTCTAGTATAGATTAATAAATAATTAATAAATAAATAATTAATAATTAATTAATAAAAGGAAAATGATAGGCAAATCAAATTTAATAAAGATAAAATACCTGAAAAGTAATAACAACAACAACAACAACAATTACTACTACTACGACTATTACTACTGTTGGTTTCTAATTTGCACCATTTTATACATTTATTAATCTTTGTGATATTTGTAGACATTCAGACCCCCTTAAAAATGAAACTATACATGATTATGTTCACCATGCTGTGTAATGTGTTTGATGTATGGGAACCATTTTTATTTAAATATAGTTAAGCTTGTATTGTGTAAGTGTAATGTTTTGCAATTGCTGTGTACAGTCCAAGGTTTGCAATCATATATTGTCAGGATTGTGTCCTTCTTCCAATGTTGAGCAAAATTTATTCTTGCTTTTGTAAATATATATACAATTATGATATTTTTGTTGATATTTTTATTAGATTGTATTTAGTAGCAAAAGCTGTGGTTTCATTCAAATTTAAATTCCTAGATTTTCTGCATTGTACAATATATGTCTTTCCAGAACTTTTAAGATCTTTTACGTTCTATTACATGTGATAAAATGTTCCCTCTATTTCTTGTTATTTCTAACATTTATTACTATCTGATTTGTCTATATTTGTTGATGGAACTGTATACCACCTATAAAACATTTTGTAAACAATTTTCTAGTAAGTTATAATTTGGTGTAAATTTTATATATTTAGTTCATAATTCTTCCTATTGTTGCATTGTAATAGTTTCTTTAAAGTTTGTCATCCATTTTGTCATACAGTATTTTCTTTGTTCTGTCTCTATCATATTAAGAGTTTGTATATATACTCTTAATAGGTGGTCTTGATGTTATATGAACATTTAAAATTTTGTGGGCTTTTTTCCTGAATGTCCCTCCTTCCTTCTTAAAATCTGATTTTATTTATATTATGCAGTGTAAAATAAGCTGACTGAATTCTGGATACAGAATTTCTGCAATAAGAAATATGTATTCTTAAGTTTTTAGAGGTGTGATTAAAAGTTAGGGCTCCTAGAGCTCCTTGATAGGAGAGGTTAAGAAGTCTATAAATGATCTTAATTTCTATATTTTTCCAATAAGATATCCTCTAATGTATAAGAATTACATTATCAGAATTCCCAATAGGTTAAAATTCTGGAAATTAAAATCCAACATACTTTAGGGCCTGGAGTAAGTGATGCTGCTGTTAATTATTAGTTATTTGTTTTCATTCTTTTTTACAGAATCTTTAGATGAGCTAACCAATCTGGTGGTGAAGTTATTTTCTGAAGTAAAGAATAAAAATGTTCCAATACCGGAATTCCCTGAGCATCCCTTCCAGGAAGAACATCTCCGAGTGGGTTTGAAACTTTCAAGATTACACTTTTGTTAATCAGTAGATGGAACAAGATAGTATTCAATATTTTCCGAAAATCATAAGTGGAGATTGTTATATACAAGTTTAACCATCTATTTCCTGAAATTATAAGAACTGTTCCTAAAGTTAATAGGAACCTTTAACTTATAAGAATATTTTTTTTTAAATAAGGCTTTCCTGTTTTCTTTTTTTACAGCAACTTTACAAGGTGGTACCTATTAAAGATTTTAGAAATCTATATGTCACATTTCCAATACCAGATCTTCAGAAGTACTACAAATCAAACCCTGGCCACTATCTTGGTCACCTTATTGGGCATGAAGGTCCAGGAAGTCTTTTATCAGAACTGAAAGCTAAAGGTAAGATAATTCAAAGTTAGCTGATATGCTACTTGCATTAAACTTGTTACTAAGACTTATGGAACTGCTTCTGCATAGTGCCTTCATGATCTAAGCACATTTTATCGCTTTTGCCCTTGGGAGGGTCTATGATTTTAGTAGTGTTAACAGATGTCTAGAAGTATTAAAAGAAGGACCCACCAAAAAGACTTCCAAAAGATCACCTGTATCTTTCTAGTTGATATTCCTTGCCCACAAATAGGCAATTTCTATGCTTAATATATTTGACCAACTGTCATAATATTAAATTTGTGTCCACTCTCAAAAATGGATTAATCAAACCTGATGCAATCAATCTTCTGAGAGCACTTCCTTGAAAAATGTTATTGATGGCTATGGAATAATCAAATTCCTCAGCAAGTATTCTTATGCTTGTATTGATTTGCTCCAGACTTCCATTAATTGTGGCCCAATTATTAGAGGCATCCTCTATATCAACAGACTCTTGCAGAACCATTTAGATGATTCTCGCTCCTTCGGTACAACTTTGCTTGCCTATAGCAAGTTGATCAGTAGGCACGTTGCCTTACCAGAAAACAAACTCAAGAAGCGAAAGGTTCTTCCTGCACATGGGGTTGATTTTCCTAAAATCTTCCATCATCAGCAGTTTGATTTTCCTATTATTACCATATTTGTCTTCCTAGTCTATTTTTGATTTTAATTTTCCTAATACTAACGCACCCTGGCTTTTTCAAAATCTGCCAAACCATGGTGTTGCTGGCTTTTCCTTTTCATTTCTTCCTGGAATCCAGATATGGCAGATGAGTCTGCAGAGGTCTCTGTTAGAGGAAAAATTTACATATACCAATTAATTCACATGGCAAAGACTTACAGCTTCAGTAGACTTATTCAATTGGTGGCCAGATTCATCAAGTAGTCTATGCCAGTGCTTATGTGTCAGTGGCTGAATTTGCTGTTTTCTTTCTCTTTAGGTATGTGGAAGATATCTGAAGACAGTTCTGAATTCCCAATGGAATTCAGGTTAAATTAGGATCTCAAACTCATGTAATTCTGATAAATATATCTAATATTGAATGCAGTGACACAATGTCCTTCTGTCATTCTGCCCTTTTTCTGCATTGTAGTTCAACAATCTTGGTTAGGGGGCAGTCAGCTTTTCTTCTAAGAAGGTATTAATGTTCCTTTCCCCATCTTCTTGAATATAAAGATCTAGCAGTAACATCTTTACGATGGCCTGCAGATTGAAGAACACTGATCAAGTATTATATGGCTAGTTACAGTTTTGCCTCCCCCATCAGTGGCATCACATTTAAACACCATGCTTAGTTTTATAGTGTAGGACTCTTTCAGGAACTTTCTAATGTCCTTGAATTCTGGAAGTGAGGCCAATTTAAATCTGGCTGATTTAGTTATGAAAATGTATTGGAAGAAAGTAATGAATTAGAATAATCAAGAGGAAAAAAGGACTAAAATGGATTTTAGTTTATGAAAGAACTGTTAAAACATATATAGCACCTATTGGTGATATTATCACTTTTAAAATTAATAATATCTGATAATATTGTTGACTTCTATTGTTATCAGTAGAACAATTAAAACATTTTTTAAGGAGCTTCCAAATCATCCATATCTAGGAACTCTGTATGCTTCTACAATTTAAAAATAGAAAAATCAATTCTCCATGGGTAAGATCTGCCAAGGCTGAAGAAAATGCCTGCAAAATTAGATGATTTAGAAGGGACTAGGATCAGACAAGTTGAACCAGAAATATATGAATGCCATGATATCCTTGGTTCCCAAGGGTAAAGTAAGAGCATCATATTTCTGAGGAATTTGCCATATCAGTTGTCTTGGACTTCTAATTGTAATGAAGGCACCTTATATTTTTGAGTTCATCCTTTAGTGCCATGTCATACAAGCCATATTTGACATTATAGCATGGTATCATACATAACAGTGTGTGTACGTGTTCATGACATTCATTTTTTACCTCTTGGATAACTATCGTTCAGAATTTCTTCTCAACTGTGAAATACTGTGTAGCTTCTGACAGTACACTGGCAAATATTCTTTTTTTATTATTATTAAAAAGTTTTATAAAAATTACAATATAACCCCCCAAGCTCCCCTCTCCCTCCCCAACTTCCCAGAGCTGAGTACAGGGTTACAAATATGATAATCCTAATCTAACTAACATTAACCAACTATATAAATAACCAAGTCCATAATGCACTTTAACTCCCCTTTAACATAAATATAAACAAATTGAAAATAAACATAATAATAATAAAAACATAAACAAGTTAATATCCTAATTATTAAACAATACAATCTTCAAATTGTTAAACAATACTAATACTAAAAATAATAATATCATAATAATACTCTAAAATTCACTCATAAGCTAAATGAAACTTTTTAGTCCTGTATTTATTCTGAATATAATTTATCCATCTTCTCCAAACCGAATTGTATCTTTCTTGTGAATGATCCTTCAAGTAAGCAGAAATCTTAGCCATTTCTGCTAAGTTTGACACTTTAAGCGTCCATTCTTCTATAATAGGTAAACAATCCTTCTTCCAATATTGCCCTACTACTAACCTTGCAGCTGTTATTAAATTCAACATCAAATTAATTTCTTTAGCATCACAATCTGTAATAACACGCAATAGAAATAATTGTGGGCTAAACTTTATCTTTCTCTTGAAAATCTGTTGAATGTTCCACCAAATCTTAATCCAAAAGGCTTTTATATTTCTACAAGTCCACCATATATGAAAATAAGTGGCATTCAAACTACCACATCTCCAACATTTGGGCTGTAAACTAGGATACATACAAGACAACTTTTTAGTATCCAGATGCCATCTATAAAACATTTTATAAACATTTTCTCTTAAATTTTGTGCCTGGGTAAATTTTACATTTCTGACCCAAATTACCTCCCATGTATCCAATGGAATCGGTTCTTGAATATTTTGAGCCCACTTTACCATACAGTCCTTAACTAATTCCATTTCCGAATCCATTTCTATTAAAACATTATAAATTCTCTTTATATGCGCTTGGTTTTGATCTTTAATCTGTTATACCAAATTCTCATCCATTAAAGTAATACCAATCTTTTGATCTAACTTCCATCTAACCAACAATTGATTATACTGAAACCAAGACTGTACAATATTTTCTTGCTTTAACTCAACTAACGATTTTAAATGCCAATCATTCCCTACCAATCTAAGTAATTCCTTATAAGAAATCCTATCCAAATTCACACCCCTAGATACCCCCTCTATTGCGTGTCCAGGAACTTTGGAAGAACATTCATTTTAATCGCTAAAATTCTCCCGAACAAAGATAACTGTAATTTTTTCCAGTCATTTAAATCCTTTTGCACTTTTACCCATAATGTCTCATAATTATTTTTGTACAATTTAACATTAGAAGCTGTAATATATACTCCCAAATATTTAACCTTTTTCACTATTTCAAAACCTGTTAATTTAACTAACATATCCTTTTCCTTCGTAGACATATTTTTCGGTAATATTTTAGTCATATTGTTATTTACCTTAGCAAATATTCTTAATGACAAGTAACTATACAAGCATATGCTTGTCTTCTGGTCATTCACAACTTCTTTGCCCATTGGAGAACCTCTTCCATTGATACATTTCCACATAATGCAATATTTTCTGCTGTTAAGTCTACAGCAGACCATGCCATAATTTAGCCTTTGATAATGCCTACTATGTAGTTGGAACCAATTTATTTGCTTTCACCCATTCTACCTGTAACTAAGATATTTCAAATGCATGCATTCTAGTAACCTGGCAGCCTGAACAGCCATAGATCTCTGTCCTCTTTCATCTGATTTTGCCTTCCACAATGGCAGGATTTAGAAACCCAGCACTATGAATTGCTATATCACCTTGACCAATTTTTCCTATACCTCACCACTTGATTTCCTCAGTTCATAATTTTTTAGTAGAGATGATAACATTAGAAGCCTTTCAGCTATATTGTAGGTATTCATTTTTTCAGCTTTTGCTTTTGCCATAACTGGCTGTTTTGTACATTTTACAGATGTTGCTGTCTCTTCACCCTTAGCAATTTAGAATTTTCTTCTGTAAAAGAACTTTTTTTTGCTGTGCACAAAACAGTAGACACCATTCCATATTTTCTTATCCAATGTTGAATTATTTCCTGAATGGTTTTGACAACATAACTACTATGGAATGTATTTCCTTCAGAGCACAGAACTCTTCAAACCATTTGCAACATAGATCTTCAGTTATTTATTTTTAAATAATATTCCTAGTAACTATTATTTCTTCCTGTTCTTACACACACACACACACACACACACACACACACACACACACACACACCTCTGTGAATCCCTGATTGCAGGACTGTGTTGTCCTAGGTAACTGAGAAGAAAGCCAACATTTTGTCTTAAAATGTATTCAGAAGGAATTTTTGGTTTAAAACTTTCTTGGTTGGAGAAGATTCCCAATTAAACTTTTGTGCAGATATAGGACAAATATGGGAATCCACAGATGGTTGTTCAAAAAAAAAAAAGGTATTGGTAAATAAGCTGTTCTTACTCACTGTTAAGAATTGATTCTTGGAGCCTTATGATGGATGAAGTCATTCTTTACTGTGTTATAAGACACAAGTATATATATAATTTCATCTATATCAAATGAAAAATTACAAACAAATCAGTTGTAAAATTGTATACATCTATGCAGTGATTATTATTGCATACCACACAACCTAATACATGTGTAACATAGCTAAATATGACTACCGTATATTCTGGCATATAAGACGACTTTTGAGAGCGTTGAAACAGGCTCCGAACTCAGGGGTCGTCTTATATGCCGAGTCGTCTTATACGCCGGAAATACGGTAGTTTCCGGCGTATAAGACGACTTTCTAGGCATGGGTCTCGGCGTCGATCGTCTTATACGTCGGAAATAAGGTAGTTTCCGGGGTATAAGATGACTTTCTAGGCATGCGACTCAGCGTCGATCATCTTGCGACTCAGCGTCAAACTCGGGGGTCGTCTTATACGCCGGGATATACAGTATATCTAGAGAAAAAGTTGTGTATTTTTAAAAATGGCAAAAGATGGAAAAAAAGGATAAAATATTTTGTAATATTTTGATTTAAAGTAATCCACAAAGTATCATGAAAGCAGTTGGTTATTATTTTGAAAATGCAGTGGTTCAAAAAATAAATAAACAGGTGAAAAGGAGACAAGCTGAATCCCATGAACAAGCTAGAAGACTGTTAAACTAATTGCAGTAGCACTTAGCCTTATATACCACTCCACAGTGCTTAGTTTACAGCACTCTCTGAGCGGTTTACAAATGTTAGCTTATTGCCCCCAACAACTGACCCCAACCGACCTTAGAAAGGTGAATGGCTGATGCTTCTGTTTCAAATTAAGAGAAACGTTTGTCAAAATTTATGTGGCAAAATTTCTACATCCTGATTCCCTCTAGTTTTCTTTTGATATAATAGTAGAAGACTAAATACACAATATAGAGCTTCCTGAATTACACTACAACCAAGTTGATTTCTCCCATTTTCACCTTTTACCTTCTTGTTTTTCTTAAACAAGTTTTTATTTGTAAAACATTTGAAAACATTTTGAAGTATATTAAATCAAATTTCTATGTTCTAAATGTGATGGACATTTTACCTCTATGTATGCCAAAGGCATATTGTACATAATATATTTTAAAAATTAACAGTGTCTCAATGTTCATGTTTGGATTTGTCTTCTCTTGATTTCAAAACATGTTTCATATTCAAAATTGGCTGATTTGTCTTTATAGAAATGTTGTTGCTATAAAATTTCTGGAAATTCATTACCTCTAATGGTCCCATTTTATCGCTTCCATTCATAATATTCTGTCATAATGTGTGAAAGTTATTAACCAAAAATACAAATATTGTCAGCGTTTGCTTAAAAATAATATAACTTTTAAAAAATGCAAGCAATACTGTATGTATATTATATGCTTTTATCATAGGCTGGGTAAGCACACTGGTTGGTGGACAAAAAGAAGGCGCTCGAGGCTTCATGTTTTTTATCATCAATGTTGATCTTACTGAAGAAGGACTGTGTAAGTGGATCCCTTCAATCATTTTGCTTTGCTAGGGCTTAAATATCGTTTAAATATCACTTCTCTTATAAGACCTTTTACATAGCCCACTGTGAAAAATATCCTATAGTGTAGTAAAATGTAAACATTTAATTAGCTTTAATCATATGCAGTTTCATATTTCCTTTACTTACAACCATTTGTTTAGTCACTGTTCAAAGTTAATGACAGCAGTGAAAAAAGTGACATGACTGGTTGTCACACTTTGCAGCATCCCTATGTTCACATAATCAAAATTTGGGTGCTTGGCAACTGGCATGTATTTATGACAGCTGCACTGTCCCATTTGTAACCTTCCCAGATGGCTTCCAACAAGCAAAATCAATGGGGGAAACCAGATTCGCTTAATGACCGCATGATTCACTTAACAATTGCAGTGATTTGCTTAACAACTATGGCAAATAGGCCATAAAATGGGGCAAAATTCACTTAACAACTCTGTTCCTTAACAAAGGAAATTTGGGGCTCAATTGTGGTCATAAGTTGAGGACTACCTGTACTATAGCAAGAAGGATTTTCTTATTTTTCAGAATGCTGCTAACAGTTCTGTGCGCTTTTTCCTGATCTTAACAAATGTGATAATTCCTCATGTTCTAAATCAGCAGTATCCAAACTTGGCAACCTTAAGGCCTCTGGACTTTAACTCCGAGAATGATCCAGCAACTCCCAGAATGACCCAGTTAGCCATTCAATTTTGGGAGTTGAAGTCCACAAGTCTTAAAGTTGCCAAGATTGGACACCCCTGTTCTAAATACTGCTGGCAGTTAGAAAGAAAACAGCTCCTGATAATCAAATTGGTTTGAAAACTATCTGAAGCTTTGCATGCATGCAGTATACTCTACACACCTTCAGCTTGTGCTACACTACAGCACCCCTCCCCCAGTTCACACATGAACTACACCAGGCCTCCCAAGGTCTCCCCAGTCCCACTGCCTCACTGCTGTCGTCTTTACCTGGACTCTCTCCATTTCCAGATTTGCACATCTGAGGTTATGGCAACTACTAGGATTGCCATCACTAAGTGATGCAATCGTGTGATATTGCACGTTCCAACTGCATTGTTTTATGGCGGAAAATTTTGGTCCTAGTTGTTGTAAGTCATGGATTGCCTGTATAGTAACAACATCGTACGGGAGTTGTAATCCTAGAACTTTTGTGACACTGTTGCTTTGACCTAACAAAACTAAAAATCCTGTATTTTTTCTTGTATAGTACATGTGGAAGATATTATTTTGCATATGTTTCAATATATTCAAAAGCTACGCACAGAAGGACCTCAAGAATGGGTTTTTCAGGAATGTAAGGTAAGATATCTTTACCAGATTATTTTCTATTAGCTTAAGAAGCATGATAAAAATTGTATCATTTTAAAAACAGGATTGAACAGGCACCTTAAACATTTTAGTTTGGTATTTCATGATAGTGAATTTTAGAAAACCTGTCATGAATAAAATATTAAGCAAGTAGCATCAAAATCTACAAGGGCTATTTTTTTAGTTCCCAAGGAAGTGAACTAATATGTTACGTCCAATATTAAAGCTTTTTGAAGCTAAAACATTAACCCAAATATTCTACACAGCTCAGGTGGCCTATATATGAAGAAAAGAGACAATACAAAGTTTTTTAAAGGTTTTTGTTTGTGGCACCATAAAGTATCCCCAAGATAGCATCAAGCTTGAATCTGGAATGTCCAAAATTGAACCGGAGCATGGAGAGTATTGGTGGCATAAAGATCAGGTTTTTTTCCCTACAGTGTTGCTACAGCTAGTCTTTATTAACAATTACACTTCACTGTGAACAAAACCAATAGAACAAAAATTTAAGAACATCTGGAGTGCCTCTAGATTCATTGCAAATTCAGACAATGCTCAGAGCATTGTAATACAAAAGTTGAATGACATTGAGTATCATTCCAAACTCAATTCCCTCTCTTGAGCCCTGGAAGCCACCCAGACATGGGGTCCTGGGAATTTGCAAGTGTCTTCCTCTAGCTTGACAAGGGCCTTTTCAGGGCCAGCAACAACCTCCTCCCATCCACATCATTATTTGTCAGCAATGCCAACTTTCCTGTCTCAGCACTTTTGGCTGGTGATTCCAGGGAAATTGATCAATCTAACATGTCCTTTACTACTGCAACTATTACAGGTAGTCCTCAATTTACAACAGTTCATTTAGTAACCATTCAAAGCAGTAGTTAACATCAAACTATATGTTGTTCAAGATAAGGATTGTCAGAGATCTGGCCAGAGATCATAGCCAGGAGAAAAAAACCAAACTAAATTACTATTACTATTACCTCATACTAAAAAATGCTCATATACCCAGAAAAAGAATTTGTTTGTGAAAAACTGAACTCAATAAGAATAACCTATGCAAATTTATAGTAAACCCTACTGAATTGAATGGTGGTTACCCATACATTAGTTTGGATATTCCTATAAAGATAGTCTTAATGAGTGAACCTCTCATATATAGAAATAACTATTTTGAAATAATTTCCCGAGTAGTATTTTATATAAGTACTTTAGGTAACTTCTGTATTAATAAAGTAATATAGCCTGCTCCAAACTAGATGCCTTCCAGATGTTTGGATTTAAAATCCAAGAATTTTTAGCAATGGCCATAGTTCTTGGAAGTGCCCAGAATTGGGGAAGACAAAAATAATAACGAAAGAACATTTTTCAATAAAATGGTATTTATAAATATACATATAGTTTATCAAACTGCTAATGATCCTATTTTAATTTTGAATTGTCTCTATATATGGTATTTATTTCAGCTTTAAAATAACTTGCACTTCAAACCTCATATTCATTTATCATTATTATTGGGAAAATGTTTTCTTTGCATCCATATAATGCAAAGAATCATATTTTTATTATGCTCTGTAGAAATTCATAATAATGAAAGAAACCAATCAGTTCCATTCATGTGATTAATTCTGAACATCAGAAATCAAACTAAATTTATGTTTAAGAAGAATTTCTGTGATTTAATATATTAATCTGTATCTGCAAAAGTATTTTATCTTGTTTTCTTTCATTTGTTAGGATCTAAATGCTGTAGCATTCAGATTTAAAGACAAAGAAAGACCAAGAGGTTATACATCAAAACTTGCAGGGATGCTTCATGTAAGTTGCAATTTGTACTATAGAGCTATTTATGTTAGCATATAGCTTAGACTATTGTATTTAATACTGTATCATTTCTTAACATTTCTGGGACTTTTCAGAAAAAGTTATTGGTAACAATGGCACTTATAAGCGCAGCTCTGCTTTTGTACCTGAAGCAGACAAAGGTTGCTAAGATTGGCAGCAGGAGAGACGATAGAGCTGCCTGTTACTTTGAATGCTTATCCAACTTTCTGCAGGATTCAGGGCTCCAATAATAATTATCCAACTTTCTGCAGGATTCAGGGCTCCAATAATAAAAGCAGGATCAATGACTGCATGGAGTGTTGTATTTGGGTTCTCTGAGTGTATATTTTAAAGTTGAGGTGACAGAGAGAGAAAGAGCCAGTGGCAATACCTAGTACTTCATATGACTTGAACCCTTTCGTTATTCAGATAAATGCATAACTAAATTAGGGTTGCTATTATAAAGAATGGTAATTGTTGATAGCACAGTGACCTATGTCCCCATGCGGAGGATCATGAAATAAGATTGAGAGAATTGGCTTGCTTGTTGTTGAACAATTTTACAACATTCCTTTTCCAATTAGAGATGATTTGATTATACGTTTACCTGCTTAATAAATTAAATTAAGTAGCATAGTGTTACTGTGTAGTGAAATATTTGTTGCCTAAACAGTTCGATGTTAAAAGGTTTCATTTTTTTCATTGTTCTTTGCATTATGCATTGGGTTTTACATTATTTTAGTACTCTCAAGGTGAATCTAATGCCTGAATGTCTAGAGCAAGGCTTTTCATTTTCAACTGGTGGTATGCGTACCACCTGTGGTACTTTGCCACATGGCAGATGGTACACGACCATCCTAGAAAAGTGTAGCAGGGGAGGGGAATGAACTGAAGCGACCCAAGCCTGAGGGAGAGGCAGCTGCAGCTGCAGGACTGTATGGGCTTGGCAGAAGCCCCAGGAGCCAGCAGGCACTTCTGGAAGCAGTGTGGAGCTGGAGGTGAACTGAAGAAAAACCGGGGGGAGGAGAGGAGATGATATAAAAGGAGGTGGTTTTGACAGAAAGGGAAAAAAAGGACAACAAGGAAAGAGAAGGGGATGGAGAAAAAGCTGTGGAAGGAGAACTCAGCAGGCAGGGAGGAAACAGCGACAGAGAAGAAGCAACAGCTGTTGCTGGAAGAAAAGGTTCCCTGGTTCATTTTCTCCAGCCAGGAGAATGCAATCAGTGCTGATGAAATGAAAAGTCGGGAGATGAGCATGTCAGAAAGGAGATTGGTTTATTTAGTTCTGGATCATCTGGCAGCTTGATTGGGTTACCATAAGGATTTTTGTGCAGTTTTTACAGCGTTTTGTAATTCAGAGGCTCGGTTTGTGTGCTTTCACTGATAGGCTTGTAAAGCAAATAATAAAGTGGCAAAGGAAATGTTAGTGCAAACATACACACAGAGTAAGAGAAAACAAATTCCCAAAGTCCAGCAAATTTGCCTTTAAGAAAATTCAAATCCAAACCAGCCAGCATAAGAATGGTCAAACATTGCATCAGGTTCATCAGCTGGTTTGGGTCCAGAGTCAAAGCCATTGGATTTCAAGTCGGGAATCAAGACACTGAATAAATTAATGGTTGTTATTGATAGAGAGACTTGAGCTCACTGCTCTTCTTAAGAGTTACCATGTAATTGCAGAGATATCCTCTAGGAGTCAACATTTACTTCTTTTTATTCAATGTCAAGACTATACTGAATGGATGTTTTTCCTTCTGATCTATTAATAGATCTAAATGGCACCAATTCCTTATTGAACTGCTATTGAGCACTTTTAAAATCTTTTTCAGTCTAAACTAAAAGTGTAACATTTTATTTTAGTACTATCCTATTGAAGAAGTTCTTGCTGCTGAATATTTACTTGAAGAATTTAGACCAGATTTAATAGAAATGGTTTTGGACAAACTGAAACCTGAAAATGTCCGGTAAGATCTATTGCCATATTCTGGTGTATTACTATAATTTATAAATGGTACATTGTGATGCTTATTGAAAGATAAAAAATATATTTCATCCCCAAATAACAAAGATTAGCAAATAGATTCTAAAGTAGCTCCTGAAGTTTTCTTCGTTTTAGAATGTCTTTAGATGTTTTTGTAAAGACATTGCATGGAGTAATAAATTAGCAACGTTCAGTAGTAATTGTTATATTGTAATGAGAATAATGTGTTTTTCAAATGTGATTTTAGGAAGGGATTGTCATTCAGCTTTAATAATAGGGCTGTATGATGCTTCTAAAACATCAGTGACCACAAGTGCAGTGCCTGTCAACTGGCAAGAACTCCTGGAAGCAGATATAACTGCTTTAATAAATTGCCTACAGGTGCTGCATTTCCACTCCTTCAGGCTCTGAAACACCTTTTCAGAACTGAATCCAAAACGTTGCATTGCCTTTCTAAATAAATTCATCACTGTTTGTGCATTTATGGAGAGGTAATTCAACCTAGTAGTTATAGTACTGGACTAGGAGTGAGGGCAATCTGAATACTAGTCTTAGCTGAGGCATGGAAGCCAGCTGGCTCTCTCTCTCTCTCTCAGCCATTAGAGAAAAGGCAAAAGCAAACCATATCCAAAAACATTGCCAAGAAAACTGCACAGACTTGTCTAGGTAGCCAACAGGAGTCAAAACTGACTCAAAGGCATCCCTCCCACCTTCCGCATAATACTAATTTGCATTCAGTCATAATGCTTTCACTCTTAGGTATGATTAGGAGGTGTGTCTGAATAAACCCTGAGAAAATAAGCAGCACCTGCCTCCCTCTTTTATGAATCTGCTTTCTTGTTTTTGTTATGATTAGTGTTTGCCTGCCAAGTCATAACCGGAGAATATAATTGGAAGTCAATTTCTGATTTGCTTCTCTCTCTCTCTCTCTCTCTCTCTCTCTCTCTCTCTCTCTCTCTCTCTCTCTCTCTCTCTCTCTCTCTGTGTGTGTGTGTGTGTGTGTGTGTGTTAATTTCTTGACTTGGAAATCTGAAAGAAAAAGCTTTGCTTTTAAGTAGGAAAACAAAAAGTAGAACTCAACAGGAAAAGGGGAAATTATAACTCATTCTCTTGCATTCATTTATTCATTGAACTTGTATCTGATGTTACTTCAGCTCAGGGTGGTGTACATAGTGTTCCTTTCTTCCATTTTTCCTCACAAGAACAAATCTTGAGGGAGATTGGGTTGGAAGAGAGCCCCAAAGTTACCCCATGAGCAATTGTTCAATTTAGTATCTGTTTAATTCTGGACATTATTTTAAGATTTAATTTGTATTTAATGTTCCAATTGATAAGTATTTTGTCCATCCAAGTGTCTTATATTTTTCCAATTAGGAACTATTTGTCTCTGAAATGCAGAACAGTGTTGATAGTAAATAATTTCGCTTGAATGTAATGTGCTGCAAAGTTACTACTCTTGATAATTGCCTTTTTATTTTAACTGGAAAAGAAAAATAGAATCTCCTTATAACAGAAGGGCCTCATTTTATTTGGTGAGATACTTACTAAAATAGTTTGGAATATGGCAGAGAGAGATTCTACTATGGCTGTCCTGAAGCTTTTTTTTTCAAGTATTTATTTAAAATGAATGGAAAGTGAATTGAATCTTGAATGTTACATAAGCTTATATCAACTGAGGATAAAATTCAGAAATCATCTTTTAATTTAAGCCAACTCCCAGATATTTTTAGGGCAGGAAGGGATCTTTTATAGAGTTGGAGGTATTCTCAGAGTCCCTCTAGTCCAATCTCCTCCTTGGTGCAGTTTTTTTTGTCTTAGTCTTCTCTCTTTTACATGAATTCTAATATTGTTCCTCCTAGCAGATTTTAATCTAAGAAAGTAGAATTTCAGGCTATAGTTACAGGGATTTTATTCTGTTTTTACAATTCAGATATGAAATTATGAATTGTTTTTCCTTTTAGTTGACAAAAAAACTATTAAGTCGCTACTAAATGCTCTAGAACAGGGATGTCAAACTCACAACATCACGTGACATGTCGCAACGTATCGTGACTTTTTCCCATTGCTGGCAATAGGATGGGCACGGTTTCAGCATGACGTAGCTGGCAGTTTGACACCCCTTCTCTAGAACAGTGGTTATTATACTGGGGGTTATTACCCCCAAGAAGTAATTTGGGTATATCTGGGGTTATTAGAGCAAGTTGTAATTACTTCTTTGTGGGTCAAGAATCCAATATACTATTGCATAAAACAACAGAGTGGTTTTTTTTGTAAGGGCAATAATATGTCTGAAACTGGGAAAAGGAAAGTTGGGTCAAACAGTGTACGAGCCACTGTTCTATTATAATTAAATTTGCTCACTCAAATATCAGAGTATTAATATAACAAAAAGAATTCACATAATTCTTTTAATATGAATATGAGCAGACCATGTTTCTACAGGAATATTAAAGTGTCCTAATGTAAATTTCATTGTGATAAAGCAGAATTATTTGTTTTGAAGTTAGAAAAATTTGATCATCAGGTAAAGTTGCATATATTTTTATTTTGTTTTTAGGGTTGCAATTGTCTCTAAGACATTTGAAGGAAAAACTGATAAAAAAGAACGGTGGTATGGAACCCAGTACAAGCAAGAAAATATTTCTGATGAAGTCATTAAGGTATGCTAAGAGCACTGATAGCATCTTGTTCATGGTAACAGGCCCAAATATGCGTTTTAAAAAATATTTAGCCTGCTGTAAAGGAAACTGTTTTGAATATAAATATTAGCTATAATTCGTATATGTGCAATGCATAATTTGAAGTTTTTCTCTCTATCAACTTTATTTAGTTTTATTGCATTATGTCAATCTTGTTGATATGTATATTTATTTGTGTTTCTTTCCTTGCTTTAAAAATTAGATATTTGGAATATAAAAATTATTTATTTTCCTAAAATGGTCTATCAAAAATCATACTTGCTTATTTTGATCTTATGTATTGCAGTGCAAAGAACTGAAAGTACTTTGCTTTTATACAATAAATGCTAAGTGGGCAGTGCAAGCCCAAACACCAACATGGATTTAAAGTCACCATTTAAATAATAGATAGAATTGTAGTGGAATTTGTACTTTCAGTTCTTTGCATTGGAGTACATAAGATCACTGTACGTACGTGTGTGTGTGTGTGTGTGTGTGTGTGTGTGTGTGTGTGTGTATGTATAAATAAAATAAATAATACACGATCACCTGGAGAATTATAAGTAAAAATACTTTACTAAAAATACTTTACTAAAAAAGATTGCAATCTTTTTTAGTAAAGTATTTTTAGTAAAGTATTTTTACTTATAATTCTCCCGGTGATTGTGTATTATTTATTTTATTTATAACTATGCCCGGGAGTCGCACTTTTACTCACATTATTGAATATATATATGTATATATATTTGTGTGTATATGTATATGTATATGTATATGTATATGTATGTATGTGTATGTGTATATGTATGTATGTATGTACGTACGTATGTGTATGTATGTGTGTGTGTGTGTGTGTGTGTGTGTATATATATATATATATATATATATATATATATATATACATACATACATACATACACACATAGATATACACACACACACACACACACATACATATGTATAGGTCTTTGGTTGTTTGGGTTTTCTCCCGCGTAAAATTGGAAGTGTCTTGGCGACGTTTTGACGAAGTCCCATTCGTCATCTTCAGGCTGGTGTTTTCAGCTTCATGCTTCGAGGAGCAATAAAAATAACACTAAAAATCGAGGAATAGTGATTCCTGGGTACATACATTTGGATAAAAAGGCGATCACCAGGAGATAAAACAACACGGTTTTAATAAATATGACCAAGCTTTCAATGGCTCAAAGTCTGCCATCATCATCAGGGTATAAACCAACCAGTGGGGAAACCTGCTTATAAATGCAGCCGCGCCCGCATTCGGCACATGGACCTCGTGACGGGTCCCAGCCGACTGATTCTTGCCTCACTTACAACATCTGATGATTCCTTCTTGTGACCCTTACTTACATTTACGTTACTACCCGCCTCCCCATTCCCTTTTGCTCTCAAGTCAGAGAGGGAACGTCCTGTATTTCCCCAAGTTAGAGTGTCCTTCATATTATTAAGTTGATTCTTCTTCCTGTGCTCTTCAGGGTATTTCTCTCTTTCACTCCTCTGACACGCATCATGGTTATTTGTATTTTTGTTGTCACAATGTTCCACACTAGGGTCCTACCTCAACCCTCATATTCCAACACACTTGTTCTTACCACCCTTCCAGCACTCCCACAGTCTTTACAATTAACCTCGTCCATACTTTTGTCCCCCCCCCTTCTAACCGATGTCCTCCGTGCTCCTCCTTTGTGCAATTCAGCACAATATCCAATCCGGTTGTCTCTCAGCCTTCTGTAGCACCGCTCTCTGAGAGCGCATAACTACCCCTGTAATAGGGCGGCTGTAAGTGTTTGTCTTCTGTGCATTTTTCGGGAGCACGACTCTATCTCGGTGGTTCCGATCAACACTGCAGCATGGCAAAGATTTTAAAGGTATTATTTTGCCGTCGCTCGTAGCAGTCGTTTCCCCTTCTGAGTTTGTATACGCTCCTAATATATCAGCAACTGGATGCGCCATAACGGGAGTGTCGTCGGGGACGAGGGGGTCAGTACAATCATAAGGGTGACAAGCGTGTTCCATATCAATCGGGACATGTGTCATTCGTGATTCTAAGTATTGAGCACAGTATAAGGAGGCATCCAAGGCATTCGGGGGTGGGCTACTAACATCAATAAGTTTCTCAATTTGTGACAGGTGTGTATGCAGATTGTTAGTCAAGGGGACTCCGGATTTTTCTTTTCCTCGTTGCCAGTCTCCTCTGATAGATGCTGGCAATGAGGAAAAGAAAAATCCACAATCCGGAGTCCGCTTGACTAACAATCTGCATACACACCTGTCACAAATTGAGAAACTTATTGATGTTAGTAGCCCACCCCGGATGCATCTCCTGGTGATCACCTTTTTATCGACATATATATATCCTTAATGGTTGTAAAAATACGAATCCCGGGCATATTTGTTCAATGATGCAATCTTCGATCTCCGGGAAGAGTATACTCCAGTTATTTATTATTAAAACAACATTTAAAAACAATAAAAACAGTTATATACAAGGTTAAAACAACTTAGCTTTCGCTGGTCCTCTGCCAGCGTCCTCAGATTGGGGCTTAGGGGGTGGGAAAGTTCTTTTTATCCCCTTGCTGATCCAACTGCCTACTCATTGCCCTCGTGACAGGGCCACTCTTCCTGATTGCCTGTAACTGCCTTAACTGTTCCGCCCTCTCTTTTTTGCACTCTAATATTGTATTTTTCTGCTCTGTCATCCTTGTGCCGCCTCCTCCTCCCTGCGCTGTTATTACCAACACACTCCTCAATCCCTCCTCTCTACCCAATGCAAGGTGCCTCCTCCGATTCGACACTACACGAGTCCTGTCACGGAGTTTCTCCTTTTTATTCTCCCTGTTGGGCTGCTGGTCTACCTGCCGTTTTTGCGTTCCATTGCCAGTTCCTATCTCATCTTCCTCCTCCAACTCCCCTCCTCTCCTAACCTGCCAATTCATACACCCTTTTTGTCTTCTGTTGTCCATTTCTGTCATCTTTCCCTTCTCCAATATTTCCCTTTCCCTGACCTGCTTACTTGTGTACCCTTCCTGCCTACCATCATCCTCTCCTATCACTCTTCCCTTCTCCAAATTATCTCTCCTCCTCTTCTGTCGGTCTCCCTGCTGTTCCTGTTTCCCATCCTGCCTTCCTATCAACCTTCCTCTCTTAGGTAGTTGGTCTACCCCCTCAGTCTGCCGATCCCCCTGCTGTTCCTGTCCTGCCTGATCCATTCCTGTCCTTCTTTGCTCCCTCAACACTTCTCCCCCCCCACCCGCCGATCCGTCCATGGATGAACAGCAGGCAGGTCAGCAGATTCCGGGGGGACATTGGAGAGGGGAAGATGGACAGCAGTGGAGGAGGGCAAACAGGAACAGCAGGTAGAGCAACGGACTAGGAAGGGAAAGATATTGAGGAAGAGAACATCGATAGGAATGGTTGACGAAAGGCAGGAGCAATATGTTAATCAACAGGTTGGACGGTTGAAGAAAAGGGGATTGACAGGAATGGATGGAGTAGGGCAGGACGGGCAGGTTAGAGATAGAGGAGAATTGGAGAAAGAAGGGGCGATGGGAATGAATGATGTAATACAGGCATGGACGGATCGGTGGATGGGGGGGAGAAGTGTTGAGGGAGCAAAGAAGGACAGGAATGGATTGGAGTATACTGGAATATACTCTTCCCGGAGATCGGAGATTGCATCATTGAATATATATATATATATATATATATATATATATATATATATATATATATATATATATATATATGAACTGATTGGATATATAATGCAAGAGGTTATCTCCGGGAAGAGTATAATGCTAGATTATTTATTGTTAAAACAATATTTAAAACAATAAAAACAGTTACGAATATTCGTCGACAAAGTTATATATATACAACAATCTTCGATCTCCGCTAGTTCACTGGTTAAAAACAACTTAGCTTTCACTGGTCCTCTGCCAGCGTCCTCAGAGTGAGGCTCATGGGGTGGGGAAGTTCTTTTTATCCCCTTGCTGATCTAACTGCTTGCTCATTGCTCGCGTGACAGGGCCCCTCTTCATGATTGCCTGTGACTGCCTTAGTTGCCCCGCCCTTTCTTTATTGCACTCCAATTTTGCATTTTTCTGCTGTGTCATCCTTGTCCAACCTCCTCCTCCCTGTACTGCTGTTACTGATATACTCTCCAATCGCTCTTTCCTACTCATTACGGGGTACACCTTCCGATCCGGTATTACAAGAGTCCTGCCATGGGGTTTTCCCTTCTTATTCTCCTTGTTGGTCTGCTGGTCTGCCTGCCGTTTTTGCATTCCATTATCCATTCCAATTCCATCTCCCTCCTCCGGTTGTTCTCCTCTCCTGACCTGCTGTTCTATATACCCTTTCTGCCTTCCGTCATCCATTCTTATCAATCCTCCCTTCTCCAATTTTTCCCCTCCCCTAACCTGCCTGCCTATGTACCATTCCTGCCTGTCATCATCTATTCCTATCGATCCTCCCTTCTTCAGTTTTTCTCTCCTCCTGGTCTGCTGGTCTACCTGCTGTTCCTGTTTCCCATCATGCCTTCTTATCAATCCTCCTCTCTCCAGTGCCCCCCCCTTGGTCTGCCGATCTCCCTGCTGTTCCTGTCTTCTGTCATCCGTTTCTGTCCGTCTTTCCTTCCCCAATTTTTCTCCCTCCCCAGCCTGCTGGTCTACCTGCCATTTCTGCCTTCCATCATCCATTCCCATCAATCTTTCTTCCTCCAGTTTTCCTCTATCCCTACCTTGCCAGTCCTGCAAGGTAGGGATAGAGGAAATTATTGCATTATTGAACAAATTATTGCATTATTGAACAAATATGCCCGGGATTCGCATTTTTACAACCATTAAGGACATATATATACATACATACATACATACACACATACACATACACATACATATACATATACATACACATTTTCTTAAAGATTTCACTTGAAATATGTATGTATGTATGTATGTATGTATACTTCAAGTGAAATCTTTAGAAATAATGTTCCTGAGTAGATGTTTAGAAGTGAAATGGGTGGCTGGCTGAATTCAGTTGTTCTTCTCCAATCATAAAAGTCTGTTTTATGATTTTATTAGAGAAAAATATTTGCATGCAAGTCTGGAGCCAGTTTAGTTTAGTGTTTAAGGCACCAGGATATAAAGCAGGAGACTGAATTCAAGTTCTACCTTAGCTATGAAAGCCAGCTGGATGACTTTGGGCCGGTAACTCTCAGTCCAATCAATCTCACAGGATTGTTCTTGTAGGAAAAATAGGAGGATGAAGCTGTGTTGGATGCAGTATATTCACCACTTGAGTTAGATATAAAAATAATAAAGGTGAAATACAAATAAAATATAAATTTCTATATGGTTAATATCTTTAACTACATAAAAGAATTTGTGTAACTGAAGCTGACAAAGGACAGCTATTTTCATGGTAATATTTGTATGGAACAGTCTAGTAGCCCAACATGGTAGTTTTAGTATGGAAACAGTCTTCATCTTATACATGTCATATTCTGCATTGATTACAAAGAAAATCAAAACAATGGAATGTGGATGGTAACAATCATATTTGAAATATTGTAATATGTTACTAATCATTTTTAATTTCAGTTACAATTTTAAGGAACACAAATATCTAAAGGTGATATTTAGAAAGCCTTCATTGCAATTTCTTTTTTAAAAATACTCCTCTTATTTATGTTTCTTTTACACAGAAATGGCAAAATGCTGATCTTAATGGGAAATTCAAGCTTCCAATGAAAAATGAATTTATTCCTACTAACTTTGAAATTGTATCTTTGGAGAAGGATACACCACAGTACCCAACTCTAATTAAGGTATATATGGTTTCTGTAGTTAATAATAATGAATGTGGTTTTACACTAGAGCAGTGGTTCTCAGCCTGTGGGTCGGGACCCCATTTGGGGTCGAACGACGATTTCACGGGGGTCCGCCATTTTTTCCCCCTTTTCCTTAGCTGTGCTACTCCCTTTTATTCTATTGGCTTTTGAAAGCCAATAGAATAGACTCTCTTGAATAGAGTCTAATTCTATTGCTTTCAAAAGCCAATAGGAATTGTCCAGGCTGTCTCTGCCCTGCTGAGCCCACCAAAAGTCCCATTCTGCAAACGGTGCTGCACCAGTTGAGTAGTCCTCGACTTACAACCGGTTGAGTAGTCCTCGACTTACGACCGGTTGGGGGGTCGTGGCATTAAAAAGGTTGAGAACCACTGCACTAGAGCTTTACAGGCTAGTTCTGAAGTGAGTCATCAGCTTCATTCATATTCATTACATTTTTAAGTTGAATTTCTAATGTAATTTTGAAATTTAGTTCCAGATCAAATTGAACAATTCTGTTATACACTGCAGACAGACAATTTGGTCTAGTGATAATGGTACTGAAATAGGAGAAGGGAACTCTGAGTTCTATTGCTGCCTTAGTCACGAAGTCCATCTGGGCCATTTGGGCCTGTCATTGTTTTTCAGTCCCAAGAGGTAGTGACTAACCATTCTGAAAATCTTCCCCCAAAATCTGCAGGGATTTGTCCGTGTAGTTACATACATAACAGATATACATATACATGCATATATAAAATCTATCTCTGTGCCTGTGTGTACATCTATTTTTTTGTATCTAGGGGTTGTGTGTCTTCTCATGCTTGTAAAACAAATATATGTTTTCAGAAACTTTTAAAAATACGTTTTTTTATTATTTAAAAGTAAGCCTTCCATAATGCTACTTGAATCCATACTGAAATTATTTGGTGAAAGGATAAATCTAACAATGTTTTGAAAGAAAAAGAGGCATCTTAATTTTTTATACAGTAATTGGGTTTAAAATGGTATGCTATAAATGGGCATTCATATTAAGTGGCATTTGGCTGACCTTTTAGTATTAATAAATATTCCATTTTAAATAGTGCTACATATAAAGTTCAAATGATAAGGAGTGTGTAATTTCCCTTTTTAAATAATTTACCTCAATATAATGTGAATCAAATCGTTAGTAAATAAACTCTAACCTTACCTAAAATTCACCTATCATTATTCCAACTAGTCTTCCTTCTCTCTGTGTTTTCCTTCTCAAAACTATGGTTGGTGGAACAATCATATTCCATACTGTCCCTGTAGATCAGTGGTTCTCAACCTTTTTATACGGCGAACCCCGGTCACATGGATGCGTGGCGCCACCCCCTGAGGGGGAAAAATGGCGGATCGCGTTGTTTGGCGACCCCCGTAAAATGGTCGTTCGACCCCAAATGGGGTCGCAACCCACAGGTTGAGAACCGCTGCTGTAGATCTTAAGGTCTGACTTTTTTTCTATATAGATACAAATATATGGACAATGTAATCATACGTGCAGGAATATTTACTAGTTGGACATATAAGGCACTCCAATTAAAAAAAATATCTTGAATGTCACTAGCAATAATTCACATACATACATTTTCCTGCAGGGAGGAACAACTTAATCTATTAAACCCTGAAAAAGCCAGGACATTTTGCCTTTTTGAAAATTCAGGAGCATGAGTGCTGATTTATCTCTGGAGAAATGCTGTTCCAGAGACAGAGAATAGCTTCTGAGGAGTCCTAGTACATTGAATTTGAAGATGTCATTCCTGTTAACGCTGCTAATATTGGATATTATTGCTTTGACAAGATAAGCAGAACTGTCTGGTATTTTTAGAGTTAATTCAGATGGTGGGGGGCAGGAGAAAGATAAGGACTGCGCAGGGGAAGGGAACTGAAGTAAATCTTGGCCCTCCAGGTTGATTGGAAAATGTGAATGATGACTGCAAAAAGGGGAGGGGGAACAGCCTGGAATGTTATGTGCAAAGGAAGGGAAATTCAGATCTTGGCATCCCTCCATGTTGTGTCAATACTCTGTTACACTGTAATAAAGGCTTTCTAGGATAAACAATGCCTGGAAGTTCTTTGAAGTGTTTCATTAGTCGGCACTATGACAACTCCATAAGAGAAGGACCTAGAGGCAGTCCTCTCTTTCTGACCTTAGTGGATGGGCATAAATCATTGAGAGTAAGGTGTTACATGAATGAACCAGTTAATGCACATAACTGCTTTTGCTTCTGCATTATGAATGTTCTGAGTAGTCTTCAAGGGCTTCACTTGATAACAGTACATTGCTATAATCTACTACAAAGGAACAATACAAAGAAAGGGGTACTAATAAATTCCTCCATATTCTCATTAATACTTTTGCTCTGTATATAAATATATTTGCATATATTTATTAAAATTGGGTAGTATGAGAAAAGGCGTTTTACTGAGTCTTATTGGACTTATTTACATTAGGCTATCTAGAGTGGGCTCTGTCTATTTAATGAATATTAAACATTAAAATAATGAAAATAGAGGCTTTTAATGGAAAATGTTCTATTTCTTAAATGCAGGATACTGCTATGTGCAAACTGTGGTTCAAGCAAGATGACAAATTTTTCCTTCCTAAAGCTTGTCTCAACTTTGAATTTTTCAGGTAGGCAAACATGTTTATGTTTATATTTGTTCACATTAAATATGGTAAATTATATATATTTATTTAGTAAGTAGATTTTATGTAATTTGGAACACCTATGGAATTGCTTTCTTTGTATAACCAAAATTGCCTATCCATACCTTCTGCTTCAAATCAACATTTTTTTTATTGAAAAGTTTTATAAAAAATACAGTATACACGCCAAAACCGACCCACCCTAAACCTCTCCCCTCTCCCTCCCCCACTTCCAGAGCTGAGTACAGGGTTACAAATATAATAATCAAACTCTAACTAACATTAACCAACTATATAAATAACCAAGTCCATAATGTGCTTTAACTCCCCTTTAACATAGGTATAAACAAATTAAAAATAAACATAATAATATAAACAAGTTGATATTATTAAACAATACAATATCCAAATTGTTAACAATACTAATACTAAAAATAATAATAAAACTAATAAAAATTCTTCTATAATAAACTATGAATAATAATAATACTCTAAAATTTACTCATAAACTAGATGGAACTTTTTAGTCCCATATTTATTCTGAATATAATCTATCCATCTTTTCCAGACCGAAATGTATCTTTCTTGTGAATGATCCTTCAAGTAAGCAGAAATTTTCGCCATTTCTGCTAAATTTGACACTTTAAGCGTCCATTCTTCTATAATAGGCAAACAATCCTTCTTCCAATATTGCCCTACCAATAACCTTGCAGCTGTTATCAAATTCAACATCAAGTTAATTTCTTTAACATCACGATCTACAATAACACCGAATAAAAATAATTGTGGAGTAAACTTTATCTTTCTCCTAAAAATCTTTTGAATGTTCCACCAAATCTTAATCCAAAAGCTTTTATATTTCTACAAGTCCACCAGATATGAAAATAAGTAGCATCCAAGCTACCACATCTCCAACATTTGGGCTGTAAATTAGGATACATACGAGACAACTTTTTAGGATCCAGATGCCATCTATAAAACATTTTGTAAAAATTTTCTCTTAAATTTTGGGCCTGGGTAAATTTTACATTTCTAACCCAAATTACCTCCCATATATCCAATGGAATCGGTTCTTGAATATTTTGGGCCCATTTTAGCATACAGTCTTTAACTAAATCCATTTCTGAATTCAATTCTATTAAAGCATTATAAATTCTCTTTATATGTGCTCGATTTTGATCTTTAATCTGTATTACCAAATTCTCATCCATTAAGGCAGTGGTTCTCAACCTGTGGGTCGGGACCCCATTTGGGATCAAACGACCATATCGCGGGGGTCGCCAAACAACGCAGTCCGCCATTTTTTTCCCTTTTCCTTAACTGTGCTACTCCCTTTTGTTCTATTGGCTTTTGAAAGCCAATAGAATAGACTCTCTTGAATAGAGTCTAATTCTATTGGCTTTCAAAAGCCAATAGGAATTGTCCGGGCTGTCTCTGCCCTGCTGAGCCCGCCAAAAGTCCCATTCTGCAAACGGTGCTGCACCAGTTGAGTAGTCCTCGACTTACGACCGGTTGGGGGTCGTGGCATTAAAAAGGTTGAGAACCACTGCATTAAAGTAATACCAACCTTTTGATCTAACTTCCACCTAGCCAACAATTGATTATACTGAAACAAAGACTGTACAATATTTTCTTGCTTTAACTCAATTAACGATTTTAATTGCCAATCATTCTCTACCAATCTAAGTAGTTCCTTATAAGAAATCCTATCCAAATTCACACCCATAGATACCCCCTCTATCATGTGTCCAGTAATCCCCCAGATTGGTATTTTATAATTTAACTTATAATAATACTTCTTCCAGACACGCAATAAAGCACTTCTTAAAATATGAGATTTAAAAGCTTGGTCAACTTTTTTGTTATAAATTAAGTATGCATGCCACCCATATAATAAATCCCATCCCTCAAGATGAAGTATACTTTTATTTGTTAAATTAAGCCAATCACTAACCAGTGTTAAAACCACCGCATCATAGTATAATTTCCAATTAGGCGCCTTAAGTCCTCGTTCCCGTGCGTCTTGTAAGATCTTAAATTTAATTCTTGGTTTTTTCCCTGCCCAAATGAATTTATTAATGCCCTTCTGCCATTCATCCAAATTGGCATCTTTTTTCAAAATAGGTATCATTTGAAACAAGAAAAGAAACTTTGGTAGAACATTCACTTTAACAGCTGCAATTTTCCCCAACAAAGATAATTGTAATTTTTTCCAATTGTTTAAGTCCTTTTGTACTTTTAACCATAATATCTCATAATTATTTTTATACAATTTTACATTAGAGCTGTAATATATACTCCCAGATATTTAATCTTTTTCACTATTACAAAACCTGTCAATTTAACTAACATTTCCTTTTCTTTCATAATCATATTTTTAGATAACATTTTAGTCTTATTATTTACCTTAAAACCAGAAACTTTCCCATACTGAGTTATAATTTCCATCAAATCTATAACCGATTGAATCGGTTGAGATAGTGTCACAACCAAGTCATCCGCAAAGGCTCTCAACCTATAATCATTCTTTTTTATTTTTATTCCCTTTATTATAGTTGATTCACAAATTTTAATAAGTAAAATCTCCATTGTTAAAACAAACAACAATGGCGACAATGGACATCTCTGTCTTGTACCCTTTTCAGTTTTAAATGCCTCTGTTAATCCCCATTAATTATGATTTGTGCCGATTGTTGTGGGTTTATAGCCCTAAGAGAATATAAAAATTTATCCCCAAAATTCATTTTATCAACAACTTTCAATAAAAATTGCCAGTTCAACTGATCAAAAGCTTTTTCAGCATCCCAAAATATCAATGCCACAGGGACTTGATTGTTCTTATCCAAATACTCAATTAAATTAACAATTTGTCTTACATTATATTTCATATATCTTCCAGTTATAAATCCAGACTGATAACTATGAATCATTTGCTTCAAAACTTGCATTAATCTATTTGCCAATATTTTTGAGAAAATCTTATAATCTGTATTCAAAAGTGATATAGGTCTATAATACTTAGGCTGGGTAAGGTCTTGGTCCTCTTTTTGAATCAACAATATAAAAGCCCTTCTCCAAGACGGAAGCACTTCTCCTCCAATCTGGATACTATTAAAAAGTTCCTTTAATGCAGTGGTTCTCAACCTGTGGGTCAGGACCCCATTTGGGGGTCAAACAACCATTTCACGGGGGTCATCAAACAACGCAGTCCGCCATTTTTTCCCCCTTTTCCTTAGCTGTGTTACTCCTCTCTTAAATAGAGTCTAATTCTATTGGCTTTCAAAAGCCAATAGGAATTGTCCAGGCTGTCTCTGCCCTGCTGAGCCCGCCAAAAGTCCTATTCTGCAAACGGTGCTGCACCAGTTGAGTAGTCCTCGACTTATGACCAGTTGGGGGTCGCGGCATTAAAAAGGTTGAGAACCACTGCTTTAATGGTTCTATCATCTCTTCAGATAATATTTTATAATAAATTGCTGTTAATCCATCTGTACCAGGAGCCTTACCCACTTTTAACTGTTTAATTGCCCAAATAATTTCCTCAGAAGTAATTAAACAATTCATCGCATTTCGTTGTTCATTTGAAAGTCTAGGAAAATGTGCTGCCTGTAGGTACTTATCTATATCTAAAGCTTGTATATTTTCACTAGTGTATAATTTTGTATAAAAATCTAAAAAACTCTTTTTAATCAACTTTTGTTGATATACCTCTTTACCTTTATATTGTATTTTCTCTATAATACGTGATTTCTGTTTCTTCCGTAATTGATAAGCCAACCACCTACCAGGCTTGTTTGCATTACAAAACGTGTTATGTTTCATATAACGCAAATTAGTTGCGATCTGATCAGCCATTAACATATTAAATTGCTCTTTCAACATATTTATAGAAACCTTTAATCTATTATCCAATGGATTCAAAATAAAAGCCTTCTCCTTCGATTTAATCTCTTCTTCCAACTCTTTATGTTTTTGCATCTGCTTACGCCTATGTCCATTATTCATATGAATCAAAACCCCTCTCATATAAGCTTTACTGACATCCCAAACCATTGCCATCGAAGTATCTTTATGCATATTCAAAACAAAAAATTCCTTCAAACATTTTCTATGTTTCTGCCCCTCATATCTAAATAAATTTTCGTTCAGTCTCCAAGATCTTCTATTCCCATCTTCAGCAAATAACTCCAACCGTACAGGACTATGATCCGACAATGTTCTAGGAAAGATCTTAGCATTCTTGACCCTGGAGAAAAGATCGGTAGTAATTTAAAAAAAATCAATTCTGGAAAACGATTGATGCCTATTTGAAAAAAAAGTAAAATCTCTGTCCTCCATATTCCATTCTCGCCAAACGTCTCTAAGTTCCAAATCATCTTTCAGGTCAAAAAAAAACTTTAGGTAATTTAGAATGATTGAAAGTTTTAAAAGATCCCTTCTTGTCTTTACTTGAATCCAAAACACCATTCCAATCACCCATCATAATAACAGATTTATAATCCAATTGAGTTAATTTATGATGTAACAACTTGTAGAACGGTTTTTGTTGTTGATTAGGGGCATATAATCCAATAATAAGAAATTTCTTGCCTTGTAGCACTAAATCAATAATAACGTATCTTCCTTGTATATCAGATTCAATTAATCTAGCGGATAAATCTCTTCTTAAATAAATAACTACTCCCCCCTTTTTATCTGGGGCAGAAGCTATAAAAATCTGAGAACTAATCAAATACTTCTGATCTTTCACAGCAATATGACTCTCCTGCAAGCAAACAATGTCATTCTTATGTTGTTTCAAGTAGTGAAATACTTTCTTTCTTTTCTGTGGTGAATTCAGGCCATTAACATTCCATGTCAGAAACTTTGCCATCCTTAGTGGCCTGAAGCCTCTGGAACACTATTTGAAGATCAGCCGTTGATCTCTTCAGTTGTGTCCCTCCCACAGGCTCTGTAGTAATCGGATCTTGTATTGTTGATTCAGAATT